GGAAAAAAAAAAAAAAAAAAAAAAAAAAAAAAATTAATTTATTTTTTAGCTTTCACTTATGAATGAGGACATGCAATATTTCTCTCCGTGCCTGGCTTATTTCACTTAACATGATTTTCTCTAAGTTTGTCCATGTTGCTGTGAATGACAGGATTTCATTCTTTTTCGTGGCAGAGTAGTGTTCCATTCATTGAGTCTTGAGCCATGTGCCCATTCTTGGAGCTCAGGGGCATGGGGGGTTGGTCCCTCTGAGCCACGTGGAGATGGAGTGCTGGGTAGAGGAGAACCACAATCGAGCACATTGCAGATGTGGAGGATGGGTAATGGCTAAGCCTGTGCTGCTTTCACTCAAATCCCAGCTCTGTCATTTTCTGGCTATGTGACCTGGGGCAAATTCCTTCACCTCTCTGTGCCTCAGTTTCCTCCTCCTCTATAAAGCAGTGATTAGGATAGCCTTTACCTCATTGGGTTTCTTTATTCAACAAATATTTGCTGAGTACCTAAAATGTGCTGAGTGCTTCCTAGGCCCTGGGGTACAGCAGTGAACAAAACATATACAAACCCTTGCCCTACTGGAACTGACATTCTAGTGGAGGAGACAGACAATGAACAAGGTACACAGGGGAATAGAAGGCATTTTACAAGTTAAGTGCTAAGGAGAAAAATAAGCAGGGAAGAGGAGCGGGCAGTGCTGGGACTTTTTCTGCAACTCTGAATTGAGTGTTTGGGGAAGGCCTCATTGAGAAGGTGATATTTGAACACAAAAGCAGTGAGGCATTGAACCCTGTGGATTTCTGGGGAGAAGTATTCCAGGCAGGGGAGCAGCAAGTGCAAAGGCCCTGCGGTAGGCATGTGCTTGGTGCATTTGAAAAATAATAAGGACACTAGAGTGGACGTTGTAATACATGGAAAGCACTAGAACAGTGCTGGACACATAGTAAGCCCTATATAAACACTATTATTTTATGGAGTTGTTGTCATTGTTATTTTTAATTTTTTCTCTCTTCTCTCCCCATCTTAGGAGTCTCAGCAGGATGACAAGAAGGGCTGAAATATTGCCAAGTGAGGTCCTTTTCCGATGGTGGCTGGGGCTGGGGCGGGGTCGGAGAGGGGTGAAGTGGGAAATACATACAGAGCCTGCATCCCTGTGTTCTGGTCCGACTGAGTCTGCTGTCGCCACACTCATTTCTGAGGTCTGCGGAAGTCACCTGCTACAGGGCTGTCAGCATCTCTGATGTTCTGGATACGGGCTGGGGTGGAGGGAGAACTGGAATGTAAGGCCAGTCCTGCTGCTCCTGGTGGTCTAGCCTCAGCTCCTCTTGCTATCCAGGCCAGTTTGTTTCTTTTGTGGTTTCTTCATTTCCCATGCCCCGGTTCTGGATACATTTAGAAAACTTTCCATTTTATTGGCATATTTTGGGATTGAGAAGGAAACAAGGATTGTGGCCAGTCTCACATTCCAAACTCCTCAGCACTCCAAGAGCCCACTTTCTAAATCCACAGGTCTTAGAATTCTGGTGTTGGGGTGGGGAGGGGGGTCTCTATGGTCTAGGGGAGGGGAATGTATGTGTCCCCACTTATTTGCTGTGTGACCTCTAACAAGGGATGCTGTCTCTCTGAACCTCAATTTCCTCCTCCATAAAATGAGCATTATAATGCTATTTAACTGCATTGGTCTGTTTTGTGTTGCTATAACAGAATATCTGCAACTGGGTGACTTATAAAGAAAAAAAATTTTATTGCTTACAGTTTCTGAGGCTGGGGAGTCCAAAGTCCATCTGGTGATGGCGACAGTGACCCTGGGATCTCACATTGCAAGATGGTGGAAGCAGAGAGAAAGACAGACTCTCCTCTTCTTTTAAAGCCCTCAGAACCATGTCCCTGGCCACCATTTTTAATCCATTCACTACTTCAGGGTCCTACAATCCAATCATCACTTCAAGACCCCACCTCTCAATTACTGTAATAGGATTTCCCACCCTCTTAACAGTCACAGTGGGGGCTAATACATAAAACTCAGGGGATACAATTCAAGCTTCAGGGAGTTTTGGGGGGGACATAATTCAATCCTCATGGAATTTCTTTGATAATGACTAATTATGCCTGGGAAGGGATTAGCTGCAGGCCTGGCACAGAATTAGCAGGTTCTGGTGAGTAGTAGATTTCAGTTAGGAGTGCTTTTGCCTGCAAGTAACAGCAAACGACTGTTAATGGTACACACAATAGAAAAAACAAATTATTTTTCTCATGAACAAGTGGGAGGGTGCTGGAGTTGGCCGGCTGTCCAACTATGCCATTGGAAAACCCAGAGCTTTTCTGTATTTGTTTTCTGCCACCATTAACGTGTTGGCTTTGGGGCTTGTGCATGGTGTTTCATTGCTGCACTTGTATCCATGATGTCTGTTTTCCAGGCAGAATAGGGGTGAGGAAGGAGAGGGGACATGCCTGCTGTGTCACTCTTCTTATTAAGATAGTAAAACTGTCCTGAAAGCCCCGCCCAGTCTTCTGCTGTGACTCCAAGACAGTGAGCGCCCTGCTCTGTCCCACCCAATCCTCCCTCCTGCCACCTCTGCAGCCCCTCGCTCACCTCTAGCTCCTCACCTCGAGCTCCTCTAGTTGCTGCTACGTTTTCTTGATCTCCTCATAATGCTCACAATTTTCTGCAGCCTGGCCTCATCCACAAAGCCATTGCCTTTCTGGGCACAGAGGGGAAAGAGCGCAGGCATGTCTCCTACCTGCTAGGATCCAGCACTCCTTTCCTGTCCGGGGTCCTCACTCAGAGTCACCTTGGAATGGACCAGTTTCCCATCCACAAACACTTCAGACTCCCCGATAGCCCGGGCAGCTCTGTCCTCCTCTTGGGGGTGCGGGTGGGGGACTTCACTTTTTGTTTGCTCGTTTTATAAATGGTTTAGCTTGGCTCACTGTTATTTTGCTCCAGTGGAAGAAGGGGGCCAGGTATAGGACAGTGAACTAACAGATAGTCGTGACATGGTGGTGCGATTGTTGTTGGAGAGAGAATCAGACACGCTGCCTGGGCTTGGGAAGTGACGCTCTGCACATTTACTGAGAGTCTGGACAATATCTCCGTTCCTGTCAAGTGTGGACCATTACGAGGTTGCAAGTAGGGGAGAAGAATAGAAGGCTCTATAGACTAGTGGTTAACAACACACACCCTGGAGCCAAATCCTTCCCTGGATTCGAATCCCCGTTTTGCCACTTCCTAGCTTTGGCAAGTAACTTCACTTTTTGTTTGTTTGTTTTATAAATTTATTCGACAATCAGCAATTAGTTCTCATCCGCATTGACTGCAGATTTTTGAAAGTGGTAACAGGTACATAGGTAACCAAAGGATAAAGCTCGTTTGGTGAATCTTCATCCTCGTTACGTTTTCTGTACAACCGCACGTGGGTATGGTAGGGGACATTCCTTATTCCTTTGGCCCAGACGGCTTTGTTGAGCCTGGATCAGGGTGCACATCTGGAGTCTCCATCTTCATGGCAAATTTCCAGATCTCTTTGAGTGCCCGAGGGTCACGCTTCCTGAAACTCACTCCATGGATACGCTTGTGAAAGGTGATGGTGTATTCTCGGGTCACCGCCTTGCTGATGGCAGAACGGCCTTTCTTCTTCTCGCCACCCTTCTTTGCAGGAGCCATCCTGCTGGGCCCAAGTTAGAAAGGAAGCAAGCGACTTCACTTTTGGCAGTAACTTCAGCTGCTCCACCTGTAAAATGGGGAACATAGTAGTGCTTAACTCATCGGGCTGTTGGAATAAGTAAATCAGTTAAGTATATAATGATCTTAGAAGTGCTCCTTGCATAGCGTAAGAGCTATGTGAATGTTAGTTGGAAAAATCTCTTATCTTAGGGCATGTTTGTTTGCAAGAACAGAAGTCATGCTTAGCTCATGTAACCAAAGAATCCAGGGGTCGTGTTGGTTTCAGGCAGGGCTGGATCAACATCGTCTCTCTGTCTCCTGGGTCCTGCTTTCCTTCTTGTTGATTTCCTGCTCTCTTTATTTCAGTTACTAGAGCCCGGTAACAAATCACCCCAAAACATAGTGACTTCCAATAACATTCTATAAACGTACGAGTCTGCAGTTTGGGCAGGGCTCTGTGGGGTCAGCCTGTGTCTACTCCACTCAGTTTACCCTGGTGCAGGTCAGTGGCTGGGGCTGGAGTCATTGGAAGGCTCAATCACACTCACATGTGGTCACCTGGCTGGAGCCACTGGGGCTCCTCGGACGTCCCTGTCTCACTGTGGCCTCTTTGCGGGGTCTCTCCAGCATGGTGGCGTCAGGATGGCCAGACTTCTTATATGGTTCTCAGGCTCCTAGAGCACATGGAGAGAGAAAGAGACAGAGACAGAGAGACTCTCAATAAAGGCCTAGAGGTGAGGATCAGCTCTGTGTGGGGCAATAATTAGAAAAATAATGAAAAAACAAATAAAACAATAATAAACAAATATGTACATTATAAAATTAGTAAGTAATGAATAATGAAAATTAAAATAAAAATAATCTCAAATAATTTGGTTTAAGGGGACACATGTGCAATGGCCTGCTCATGTGACTGAGTAGGGATCTGAGACTTTGTCTGGAGGCCACTGGGGAATCACAGTGGAAAAGTTGGAAACAGAAGAGTCAGTTTTGGGCTTTAGAATGATCTCTCCAGCTGCTCCTGGAGGGTGGATAAGGGGACAGGAAGGAGGGTGGGGATGGACCATGGCAGGGCCATGGTGGGCAGAGGGGACATGGTAGGGATACTTGGGAGGCTGAATGAACAGCTGAAGCATTGTGTCTTGGGGGAGGTGTCAGGTCAGGGCCCAGAGCTTTGGCCTGGGGACTGGGGTCTGAGATGGGAGCTGGGGAGGGAAGGTGTAAAAGAGTTTGCCAAGCCACACAGAAGAACAGCCCCTACAAGACCAGCCTCAAGTCACACACCAACCATAGGTTTTGGGGTTTTCTGAAACCACTCTCAGGTTTGATAATTTTCTAGAGTAACTCACAGAACTCAGGAAAATGCTATACTTCTGATTATAGTTTTATTATAGTAGAATGATGCAAATTAGAACCAGCCAAAGGGAGAGATGCGTTGGGTGAGGTCTGGGGAGGGTCCATGCACTCAGAGGCACCTTACCCTCCTGGGATCAATGTGTGACAATATTGCGGTCTGGAAAGCTCACCTGAGCTTCAGTGTCCAGAATTTTTATTGAAGCTTCGTTATTGATTGATTGATCATAGTAATTAACAATTGATGGAATCATGGCACATGTGGTTGAACTCAATTTCCAGCCCCCACTTCCCTCCCTGGTGTCTGAGGTCAGATATGAAGACTGGTCTGGTATCACATAGCTCAAAGCCCCAACCCTCTAACAAAACTGTTGGTCTTTTTGGTGTGGCCAGCCCCCATCCTGAGTCACCAAATTGGCATAAACCATCAGGGCCCATCATAAATAACAAAGATGCTCCTATTACTCAGGGAAATTCTGAGCATTTAGAGGTCACCTCCCAGGAGCCAGGGCAAAGGCCAAATGTTGTGCAAAGTTAATTCTTCACTACACAGCAGGTTTCAGGGAGTCTCTGAAGTTGGTGTGGGACACGGTGAGTGGGAGGGGTCTGGGGGAGGCCCAGGAGGAGACATCCAGAAGGCTGCTGCGTTCCCAGGGCTGGGGACAGTGGTGGCATCGTCAGTGTAGGGCAAGAACGAGGTGGGAGAGCATGAGGTGGGAAGAGAGGGGTGAGGAGTGGGGGTAGGAGAGCAGACCCTGGGCCTCCATGTCAATGGGTCCCACATCCTGAAAGCCACATGCCCAGAGTGTCATTGCAAGGCAGTGTGGTAGAGTAGGCTCTGCCTCAGATTAGATGAGGGACCTTGACAAGTCACTTGGCTCTGTTCTCCAGCTGTTTGCTCCCCTGGAACACAGGTGCTAGTGGTCCTTGCTGTCAGGTATGGTGAAGATGAAGTGACTTAATCCTTGTAAACACTCAGAACGCTTCCCGGCACAGAGGATGCACTCTGAGTGCTAGGTGGTATTATTATTCTTATTTTCCCCACATTATAGAAGAGATTCATGAGCCCAGAGAGTTGAAGCCACTTGACCCAGGTTATACAGCTGGAGTGATTTAAGATTCCAACCCAGGCAGTCTGTCCTCAGGGCAAAGTTCTCCCCACCACACTGGCTCAGCATGAGCATCAGAGGAAGGTGGAGTTCAGGGTCGGCTGCCCTCCATGGCTTCCCATCCAGACACTAGGTGGCAACCATGACAGACACCTCACAGCACTTGTTCTTCAAACCATTCTTTTATACACCCCCCTGCCTTCATTTATTTGTCTATTGATTAATCCAGCAGTGAGCTATTAGCTCCTCTGCGCTGGTAAAAGCCCTGATTTTGGTCTATGGTACAAAGAGGCTTCTCCTATTTCCCCTCTTGACTGACCCATCGCTTTCTATGTGATGACAGAAAAGCTTCCCTCTGAGCTTAGTTTCCCCATCTGTAAAAGGAAGACAAGGACTTGGCCATCCCAGCTGTGGCAGAAACCACTAGGTGTCCCCCAATATCTATCCTCCCCTACTTCCATCATAATAGCCCCCAGCCAAAGACTACATTCTCCAGCCTCCCTTGCAGCTAGGTGTGGCTGCATGACTACATTCCAGCCACTAGGATGTGA